GTTCCAATGTAGACTATGAAACAATATCATTGAACTTTTTGTACTGTTACATTAAATACATTCGTCTTTCAGTCTGAGTGGGTCTTTTACTCATACATGATTTTGTAATATCATGCATCAGATATTTGGAAAATCGTGACTCTCTGGGTTATGCAGGACTTCCAGATGTTTGTATAATTCACTGGACAATTTTTTAAAAATAAAATTTTTAAAATACCACCACCATTCTTCTTATCAGAAAGTATTGGGAAGCCCATGGTGGCATATGCAAATTTTCCAAAGTTCTAAATTTTTTCTTAAAAATTTGAATTTTATCATTGGTAGTAAATATTGTCAGTTATTTTCCTTGAAGGCCCACTACTTTATGGAAGGTGTCTGCTGCACAACTAAGTATGGACAGCACTTAGTTTGTCTTCTCAGTTGTTCTTTTATGTAAAAATGGTGTTCCATGGTGGGGGGGGCCCCAGGGGTGTGGGGATCAGTGCATTCCATTTACAGTTCAATTACAGAAGTGCTTTTCCTTAAGACAGCCATTGTGTATTTCAGTATGCAGCAGAAATATTTTTTTAATTTAAATTCAAGTCAGTTAACCTGTAGTAGTATTTGTTTCATGAGTAGAATGTAGTGATTCGTCAGTTACATAAACACCCAGTGCTCATCACCACAAGTGACCTTCTTAATGCCTATCACCCATTTAACCCATCCCTCCTCCTCCTTCCTCTACCTCCCCTCCAGCAACCCTCAGTTTGTTCTCTATAGTTAAGAGTTTCTTTTGGTTTGCCTCCCTCTCCGTTTTTATCTTATTTTATTTTTCCTTCTTTCTTGAATTCTACATATGAATGAAATCATATGATATTTTACTTTCTCTGACTGACTTATTCCACTTAACATAATACACTCTAGTTCCACCCACATTGCTGCAAATGGCAAGATTATATTCTTTTTGATGGCTGAGTGGAAACATTTTATGTGTTCTTCCCATTTCATCACACAAATTATGAAAAAAGATGTGTACTTGAGGGTCAGTAGTTAATAACTTTAATTTTTCTGCTTATCAGGGACATTCTTAAGTGAAACTGTCATTTTTATTTATTTATATTTATTTTTAATTTATTCATTTTACTATGAGTGCATGGCAATGAAGAATGCAAGAACTACTAGTACAGTTTGATGTCACTGCCTTCCTAGGGGAAGGCACCACAGTTTTACTTATCATTCCCTCTGCACCATCAATGCACATGTCAACACACTTATTCCAGGATAAACCACTGAATTCAGAAAGTTATTCAACATTTTGCATATTTCACTTGTATTCTTGCTCATCATTCACAAACAAGGAGATCTTTCAGTAGTTGGTGCTGATATTATTAGACAAATCCAAGCAAAACTGCATGACCAACAATGTCCACAGATGTGAGCATTTGTAAGGCAAAAGTGCAACTCTGTGGATGTGTTACTGAGGCTTCATGTTTGCAGCTACATCTCGAATTCAACAAGTTATTTTATTATTGGAAAATGCTACAATTTTGTTTACTGATTTTTCAACCAGTGCAAGTTATTGCAAACAGGACACTGAGGTCTTAGTCTTCAGGATATGTATTCAGCAATGTTAACTTATTAGTTTCTAGGCTTTTGTGTGCATTTCTCTAGCCAACACAATATGATAACCTACTCTATAAGATGCTTCACTGACTTTTTCATTTGTAGTTTGAAAAACTGTAACAAAGAATTTTTTTTTCTTTTAAGAGCTCATCACATACACGTTCAAAATGTGTATGTATTTCTTTTTCTTTAAACTCTGAGCAATTGGTCTTAAGATACCTCAACTTAACTGCCACCATAACTGTTTTAAAAATGTGCAACTCACCATTGCCCTTTCTTTCTGAGATTTACATCTGAATATTATCCTCTGCCTCCTTTATGTCCTCTACCTGGGGACAACCACTTTGGACACAATGCCATGCATCTTGTGGTTTGGGATTTTAGCTCATTCCTGGTTTATTGAAAATAGAATTTGCATTTTGTTATTTGTTTTTTGTGTTGTTTTGGGATGATTTCCAGGAGAAGACAACATGCCAATTCTATATGGACAACTTTGCTGGAAGTCACCACAAAAATATTTTATCGTGTTGTAACATAAATATGGAAAAATCACATAAATCGTGAAAATACAGTTTCATTCAATATCATAAAGGAAATGCTCATATAACCATCATGGGTAAAAAATAAAATAAATCCAGTACCCTACAAGTCTATATCATGCCCCCTTTCACTGCCAACCAACCCCCTTTTTTCCCCAGCCTTATTGAAATATAATTGATGTATAACATTTTGTAAGTTTAAGGTGTAAAATGTAATGATTTATACATGTATACATTGCAGAATAATTACCACAATCAAGTTAGTCAATGCATCCTAACAATCCTGCTTTCTGATTTCTAACACATGTATTAGTTTTGCCAGCTTTTGATTTTTGTGTAAGTGAAATTATAGTCTATATTCTTTTATATCTGTCTTCTTTTGTTTAACACTATGTTTGTGTAGTTCATTCTTTGATGGACGTAATAACAATTTATTAGCCATTCTACTGTTGATAAATATTTGGGGGTTATCAGGAATGATGCTTCTATGAATATACTTGAGTATTAGTTTTTGTGCACAAACATACACATTTTTTTAAAGATTTTATTTATTTATTTGACAGAGATCACAAGTAGGCAGAGGCAGGCAGAGGGGGGTGGGGGAAGCAGGCTCCCTGCTGAGCAAAGAGCCCGATTGCGGGGCTCGATCCCAGGACCCTGGGGTCATGACCTGAGCCGAAGGCGGATGCTTTAACCCACTGAGCCACCCAGGAGCCCCTTAAACATAAACAGTTTTATGTATATACCAAGGAGTAGAATTGCTGGGTCATAGGTATATATATTTTCAACTTAGTACTATCAAGAAGTTCTCCAAAGAGGTTTGAATTTAAATTTTACCTTGATGACTAAAAAGGTAGGACACTATTATATATAGTAATGGCTTTTTTTTTAATTTAAAGATTTTTACTTATTTATTTGACAAAGAGCTACAGAGAGAGCACAAGTAGATAGAGCAGCAGGCATAAGGAGAGGGAGAAGCAGGCTCTGTACTGAGCAGGGAGCCTGTTGTGGGGCTCGATCCCAGGACCCTGGGATCATGACCTGTGGTGAAGGTGGCCGCTTAACCGACTGAGCCACCTAGGGTCTCCAGTATTGGCTTTTTAAAATCTTTTTAAGGAACTCCTTATTGAAGGATCATGACCAGTTTTCTTGGGAGTTTTCTGTCTTTTTCTTAGAAATAGGGAGAGATTTTTTCAGTATTCTGGATATAACCATTTTGTAGAGTATAAGTATTGCAAATATCTTTTATCCCCTGTGTGCTTTGCCTTTACATTTTGCTAGTTGTACCTTTTGACTATACAAAGTTCATAATTTTAGAAATTCTTTTTCTATGAGATTTTCAAAACTGAAAACAGAAGGCATAAGCCACAAAAGAAAAGATTTATAAATTGGACAACATTAAAGAAGATGTGCTCCATATACACAATGGAATATTATGCAGCCATCAGAAAGGATGAATACCCAACTTTTGTATCAACATGGATGGGACTGGAGGAGATTATGCTAAGTGAAATTAGTCAAGCAGAGAAAGTCAATCATCATATGGTTTCACTTATTTGTGGAACATAAGGAATAGCACAGAGGATATTGGGAAAAGGAAGGGGAAAATGAAAGGGGAGAATCAGAGGAGGGAGACAAACCATGAGAGACTATGGACTCTGGGAAACAAACTGAGAGTGTTAGAAAAGGAGGGGAAGTGAGGGGGTGGGTGAGCCTGGTGATGGGTATTAAGGAGGGCATGGATTGCATGGAGCACTGGGTGTTATATGCAAACAATGAATCATGGAACACTACATCAAAAACTAATGATGTACTGTATGGTGACTAACATAAAAAAAAAAGAAATATTTTTCTATGCAAAAGTCATAAAGATACTCTCCTATGTTTACCATCTTTTTTCCCCCCCACAATTAGACCTACAAGTCACCAAGTCACCTAGAATCTATTCTTGTATATGGTGTGAATACCAGTTGCCTTACATTATTATCACTATTTGTTATTTTCAGAGTTTAGTATCTATCAATTACTGAGAGGTGGAAGTGCATTTCATTTTAATTTGCATTTTTCTCATTTTTAACAATGCTAAAACTTTAGCTATTTGGGTCTCCTTTTCTGTGAGTTGACTGTTGAAATTTTATGTCCACTTTTCTGTTGGACTCTGACTTTTCTTTATCGATTAGTGCAAGGAATTACACATACTCGAGAAAAACAATTCATATGTATTCTAAATATTCTAAATATTTTTTCTCCGTCAGTCATTTGTTTTTAACTTTATTTTTTTTAAGGATTTTATTTATCCATTAGTTGGAGAGAAAGATCACAAGCAGGCAGAAAGGCAGGCAGAGAGAGAGGGAGAAGCAGGCTCCCCACCAAGCAGAGAGCCCGACGTGGGGCTGGATCCCAGGACCCCGAGACCATGACCTGAACCGAAGGCAGAGGCCAAACCCACTGTGCCACCCAGGAGTCCCTGTCTTTTAACTTTATGTTCGGTGTCTTTTGTGATATAAAAATGTTTTTTTTTTAAGGTTTTATTTATTTATTTGACAGACAGAGATCACAAGTAGGCAGAGAGGCAGACAGAGAGAGAGGAGGAAGCAGGCTCTCTGCTGAGCAGGGAGCCCGATGCGGGACTCGATCCCAGGACCCTGAGATCATGACCTGAGCTGAAGGCAGAGGCTTAACCCACTGAGCCACCCAGGCGCCCCTAAAAATGTTTTTTTTTTAATCAAATGTGGCCCTATATGTCAGTCTTCCCTTTATGGGTTATGCTTTTTTTTTCCATATGGTTATTTTTCAAGGAAAGCATAATATTTGCCTTACAAACTTTCTTCATTTACTGTTATTATTTTTTACTTTTAGATAACTACCAAGTGGTCTTCCCGACTGCCTATACATGCTCTTATCAAAGTGATGGCGTGTGTGATAATACAGATGCTAGAAAAAATCCTCAGAATAAAGTGGATATTACATGGATTCTTCTACTGCGCTATTATATTCATCTGCAAAGGATTAATAATATGAGCAAACTGCTAGGTAGGTTTTGATGGGTTAAGAAAAACACATTTTCCAGTTCTTGTTAAGTCATCTTTCTTTTTTAGAATTTTAAAATGCTATTGACCTCTTTTTGGAGTGAACTCTCATCAGAATATGAAAATTTCAGAGGCTCATAACCTGAGATACACAGATCTTTAGGTAGAATAGTATTTCAACATAGCTAACTTCCTCTGACATTCTATATATTTTATTTCACATATTTAAAAATGTTATTGTAAGGATGTATCCAGAGGCTTCCCAAGACTGCCAAAGTGGCCCATGGCTCAAAACAGTTAAGAATCAGAGTGATCACAATTGATAGCTTATGAAATGAACAGTATGGAATTTTGACTTTAAGGAGAGAATGTTCCAGTATCCAGTATGTAAAAGAGAAAAAATACATGACTTCAGATAATTTATGTAACTTTATTATTTTTGTTTTGTTTAGTTTTTGTTGTTGTTGTATCATCAATGCTGTCTGAAGAACATCCAGAAAAACTGGGATAATCTGCTTCATGTCAGTCCCTCTTGTGTTTCTCACTGTGCTCATGAAATTGGTGATTTTGTGTTGTTCATCAGTGCAGATAGTTGGAAAAGACAGTTTGACCCGTGTCAGGGCCCAGTGATGGAGAAGCTGGCAGGGCAAATAGGCTGAGTCACAGAGTTACTACGCATGGTTATCAGGAATTAGCAGTGGGATAGAAAACACACAGAGAGGTGTCAGGTGTAAAAGGTACATCACGAGAAGGGCAAGAATATAAGAAGTTCGAGAGCAGAGGATGTGGACATGAGCCAGTAGAGCACAGTCTGGCAATGTCTGCCCCATATCAACTCAGCTCACCTTTGAATTCACCTGCTGGCACCTGTCACGTGCCCACATTTTACTGCTTTTCTGCCCTGGGCTCTTCCTAAGACTACGGAGACTTGCTCAGCCCACTGTCAGGACAGTCCAAAATGCCAGGGATTCCACACATACTAATGAGGTAGGAAACTGGTAGAAAACATTCCAGTTTCCCAATCCAGACAGTTCTACATGTTACTTTTCAGAAGGTCTTCAGCAGGACTGAGCCCTTATTGTCCAAAGCTACAGCCCATCCATTAACTCTCTGTTGGCTCTTCTCTACATCACACTTCATTTGTTCTCTCACTTATGCTCCTGAGATCACTTTTCAAATAAATTACCTGCACCTAAGTTTTTGCTTTAAGATCTTTGTTGGGGTAAGTCCCAAATAAGATGACTATGTAGAATATTTTGTATTGTCAAGACTTAGAACCTAAAGCAATGTCCTCAAACCCTTCTGAAATTTTCTTCATTTCCTTGTGGCAAGAAGCAATGCCATTAGTGTATAAGCTTAAAAACGGAGGAATTACACTGGCAACCAGTTGCTGAGGTGGTGTGATTTATAGGGAGAGCAGTTAATGAGCAAATACCAACAATACTGAGACTGTTCTCTTGTCTAACGTGACTCTAAATTAACATATTTTTCTTCCCTAAGCGTCTCCAAAACCAGGATCTGGAATTTCATTGCCAGATGATACACTTCTCACGTCCCTTTTCAACTCTGGGCTGATTTTACGCCAAAAAGAAATGCATTTTTTCCTTAAAAGATTTTTACAGCTGTATTCTTCCTCTTGTATTGATGAATTTCCAAGAGAACTATGTCAAGGATTGGAAAATACGCTTTTTTGGGAAAAAGCCTTATGTGACCCAGTCAAGGTACTGTTCTCAAACATATATGTTTGTAAAACTTCTGAAGGAAGCACATTTGAGATAACTCAAGTGGATATCGTGTATTGTAAATTTCTAATTTGTATTTATAAAATGAATAAATCAAGTCATTTGCATTGAATTCTTTCCAAACAAACAAAAAAATACATCAGTCATTAATTTTGAATTCTCTTGACTTTGGACTTCACCATATAGTACTTTCATTTTTATGATTATAAACTTACCCATATCACACATGTCCATGTTTCTAAGCCCAGAGAAGTACCTGGAAATGTGACTTCTTCCAAATTGAGAACCTTTGTATCTTATTCTGCTAGATTTTTGGATAGATAATAATATATTTTTTTAAAAACCATTCTTGAACAAAAGAGTGAGGTTACTATTAATAAACTGTGATTTTAAAAAGTAGTGGGAAGACCTACTAAGAGATAATTTAAGTATTCATTTAAAGAAGTGATTCTCAGTGAGAGTTATGGAGTGGCTGTCCAGGCAGTGCATTAGGATCCACATGGGAGGATTGGCATGCCCAATGCTCGACACCCCTATTTCTTGCCCAGATTATAGATCATTTAAGAAATAAAAAAGTTTAAGAGTATGGGATTAAAAAAATACACCCTGATGAGTCAGTGTTGACATTGCAGGGTATGGTTTATATTTACTGGAAATGGTCTTCCTAAAAGCAAATAGCACAGTAGACAGATTTTGCCAATCCAGCTGTGTTTGTTTGTTTTGTTGGTTTGGTCATTATAGGCCCCCTTAAAATATGTGTGGACACAGACCTTTTTAAAATCTGTCTCTTGGGGACACCTGTGTGGCTCAGTCAGTTAAGCGTTCTTCTTCGCCTCAGGTCATGATCCCAGGGTCCTGGGATCAAGTCCCAACATCAGGCTCCTTGTTCAGGGAGCCTGCTTCTCCCTCTGCCTACTGTTCCTCCAGCTTGTGCTCTCTCAATCTCTCTCTCTGACAAATAAATAAAATCTTTTAAAGAATTAAAAAAAAAATTTGTCTCATGAAGGAACAGAGAATAGTCACTCCCTACAAACCATTCTCTCCCAAGAAGAAAGAGCATAATTATGCATATCCAACATTTCTTCTTTCCCAAATTTACCAGTCAAATAGTTCTCCAGGGGAGATGAGCGAGAGGAGTTCAAAGGCCAGCAATGTACTGTAAGTGTCTGACGCTCGGCTGGGAAGGAAGCAGCAGGAGTGGGATGAAATCATTTCCATCTAACACCAGATCCCCAATTCACCCTTCTAGAAACTGTGACTCCCTTTGAGGATTACTGTCATGTGTCCCAGATGCCTCTGGTATTCATTCTGGCATAAGGGGCAGAGAATGAGAAGGTGGAGAACTATAGTTTTGTGAATGGATTCTTGTGACTATTTTGTATGAGTCTGGAAACTAATCGGTGTGATTTCTTAATATTTCGAAAGGAGCTCTGCTTGAGGATTTTAGTATTAAGGGCAGCCTACCATCGCCCATTTCCTAAGCATGAAGCTCCGAACGGAGAACCTTGAATACACTGTAAATATATGTGACATTTCTAATGGCAGCAGCGTTACCAAAGATTGTTGTACCCTGTTTGCTCTTTTTTTTTTTTTTTTAATATAATTAGTGTAACACTCTCCCAGAATAATCAGCTCTGGAGATCACTGTCGCTCGCCTGACAGGTGCAAGCCACCTAATCATGTGTTCATTTCACTGGGGTAGACAGCTAACGAGCATAGAGCCTTTTGGATTTAAAAAAAAAAATAAACTGCAAGCTTGGCTGATTTTTATAATAACGTTTTTGAGCTTTTAATCACTCAGGAGGCTATTTCAATCAAACTCTTTCCATAATTTGATACTTAATCCTGCCTTTCCTCCACAAAGAAATAGATGTCTTTCCAGAGAGATCATTGCTAGGTGCCAGGCTCATCAACGGGTGCGTCTGCATATTGTTAGGTCTATTGAAGCTCTGTGGTGGAAAAACAAAGATGCCAAACAAATTACATTAGAAATTCCTAGAAAAAAATGATTAAAATTATGCACAGTGCTGGGTGATTCATGTTTAGACTTGTTGTAAGGTCAAATATTTGACTAGTGTAAAGTGATTTGTTGTTTTTAGGGCTGTGGCAAACAAGCTTCTCCTGGTAGGTCTGTTGTTTCATTCCTTTCAAAGAATAAATAAAACATATAAAAAATATTCAGTGTATGGCCCATCAATGAGCATATATACTTAATTCCATTAGCAAATAGATTTTATGTTTTTGTAAAGATAATGGAAAATTAAATGCCTCTTTTGATATTAACTTTTGTTACAATTTACCATTATTAGACCATCATGTTAGTAAATGCTGTATATACTGAAATAGTAAATATTTGCTTATTATTTTTCTCTCCTTAGTTTTTTTTCTGCAGTCATTAAATATGAATTCTTGCTAAAATAGTTGTCAGAACCTCTGAAAGGCACTTAGATATGAAAAAAATATAAGAAATTAGTTTTGGAATCAGTTATTTACCTGAATTTTTGGTGAACCGCATGACATAGAATTAATCTTAATTTAGCATTTTTAAATGATTATTTAAACATAATAGTCTTGTTTATTATTTATTTTGGTTATGCTTTTAGTATCATAGTACTAATAAATGAGGATTCTGGCTTATAATATCCTTTTATGATGATAGTCTCTAGACATTTTTGTAAAGTTTTCATCTTTAATGTTACCCTTCAGTTATGACATATTTTTTCTTTTATCAGTAGACAACTTGAAAGGTCTGTGCTTTATTTCTCTTTTTATTTTATTTTGAAGACTCTCACTGACAGTCTTATATCTTGAATAAGCTCAGAAATAGTGGGAGGCACAAAGCCTTACAGAAACAACAGGCATTTCTTACTGACCACTTACATGTTCCCCTTCATCATCAAGCCTTAAGATACCTTGGATGTCAAAAGTTCAACAAGAGAATTGCTTCCCAGCTACCATGCTATAATCTTGGATTGAATAAGAGCAAGTAAATTTTGAAAATAGTTTACATTCCATTAAAGAAGGTCCTTTTCAGATTTGAGGTATTATTATCACTATTATTATCTCTCTGGATAGACTGTTATTTTTTTTAATTGTTATTTTTTTTATTTTTATTTTTTTATTTTTTATTTTTTTTAATCATTTTTTAAAATTTATTTTCAGCATAACAGTATTCATTGTTTTTGTACCACACCCAGTGCTCCATGCAATCCTTGCCCTCTCTAATACCCACCACCTGGTTACCCCAACCTCCAACTCTCCCACCTCTTCAAACCCTTCAGATTGTTTTTCAGAGTCCATAGTCTCTCATTGTTCACCTCCCCTTCCAATTTCCCCCAACTCCCTTGGGAGACTTATTTTTTTGATAGCAACCGTGCTTTGTTTTCTGAGCTAGTTTTTAAAAACTGAATAATTTATGAAATTGCCAATTGCATCCTGTACATTTATGTTTCCTGAAAACTCCTGATTCAGGGACCTGGTTGCATCAAAGTAGGCTCAGATACTCCAAGACTGAATTTACAAATCAACCACGTTCATGTAAAGAGGGAATGAGATCAGTAGATTTTAATATTTTATAGCAAACACTGTGTCTTATTTTGCATATGACATTGCAAAAAATGCTGTTGGAAAGTAGATATTATTTATTATAATCATACCTTCAGTTTATTCGCCACTGAATAAACAAGAAAAAAAGGAGATGTTCTTAGAATCTGTGATGATCTTGAGACTGAAATGATAGCAGTGACATTTTCCTCTCTACGTCTTTAGTCTGGGAGAGTCACCAAAGTGGAAGACATTGGTTGAGTTCTATGGGTTTTTCTTTTTTTTTTTTTTTCTCCAAAGATTATTTATTTGAGAGAGAGAGAGAACATGAGCAGGAGGGGCCGAGGGGAAGAAAAACGGAGAGAGAGAATCTCAGATTTTGCACTGAGCAAGAAGCCTGAGGCAGGACTCGATTTCACGACCCAAAGAACATGACCTGAGCTAAACCAAGAGTTGGACACCTAACCAACTGCACCGCCCAGGCACTCTTGAGTCCCATGTGTTTTGAAGCATATTTTTCTGTAGTAGAATCTTCTCTGGTAATCGGGAACAGTTTTAAAAGCTACACCTATAAGACAAACTAAAACAATTCCCAGAATTTTATAATGTAGAAAATATTGAATGGATATTGAGTGAATGTTTTAAATATTGAATGAATTTATTACCAGCAATTAAACTGCTTTTGATTTTCCCCTAGTTATGTCATGACACTTCTCTACACTCCAATTTATCATTAAATAAACTCTCTGCCAGCCCATCTTCTGGAGATGTGTCATCAGATATGAAGATACAAGATTTAAACAAAGAACTTTGCTTTCAGTGGTACATTCCTCCTCTAGAAAGACCTCCAAAGGACACAGAACCTATGGTATGTAATATAATCACAAAGCTAAATCTTATATATAGATATAAAGTTTAACTTGACCATTATAACTTGAAAATAGGGTCCAGCTCCTTGTCATATAGATGAAAATATCCAGCAATATAGAATGTATGTTGTCTAGTAGAATGAATCTGAAAATAACTAAGAAATCAGGAAAAGTCTGACTTGAGTTGATCATTTTTTCTTTTTTCTGATCGTCAAGGGATACTTTCCAGTGTGTCACCATAATATAGGATGTTTAACTTTTTTTTGAAGCCACCTCATCAATTTAAGGATTTTTTTCCTACTGTCTACTTTGCTAAGATTTTTTAATCAAATCCAAATCTTCTGCTGTGTCTATTAATATTATTTTATGATTTTAATATGTTAATCGATTTTTAAAAATATTAAATCAATCTTATGTTCCTGAGATAAACTCAAATTGGTCATGTATTAATTTTACTGGGTTCAGTTTATTAAAGTTTTGTGTTGGATTTTTGCCACTGTTTAAGAGGAATATTGGGTTAAAATTTTCATTTTCATACTATCTTTGTCAGATATATTTTGTATCAAGATTTTGTTAGATGTATAAAGTGAGTTGATAAATATCCATATTTTTCTATTCTCTGGTGACATCTCTGTAAGTTTAGAGTAAACTTTTCTCCTCAAATATTTGATAAGAACTCATAAGTAAAGCCATCTGATCCTAGTGGGGTTTTTTGGTGAGAAGATAGAAAATTAGTAATTTAGGGGCACCTGGGTGGCTCAGTGGGTTAAAGCCTCTGCTTTCGGCTCAGGTCATGATCCCAGGGTCCTGGGATCGAGCCCCGCATCGGGCTCTCTGCTTGGCAGTTAGCCTGCTTCCCCCTCTCTCTCTGCCTGCCTTTCTGCCTGACTTGTGATCTCTGCCTGGCTTGTGATCTCTGTCTGTGAATAAATAAATAAAATCTTTTAAAAAAATAAAGAAAATTAGTAATTTAATTCTTAATAGTTAGAGGCAGCCATTAAGCACTAGTGCTCATTTACTAGATACCAGAATTGGTATCAGTTCTGATTGGGTCAATATCTGTTCTAATGGTTAGTACCCATGTCAAACCAAGTTTTAAATATTTTGACTATCACCCCTGTTTATAGAACATTGGAATTTTCTGTTTCTTCTTGAGTCAGGTTTGTTTAAGTTGCTTTATCTAGGAATTTTTTCATTTTATTTAAAACTTCTCTCATACTTTTGATCTCCTCATTGTATTTGTATTGAAGTGTCCCTTTTCATTTCTTACATTGGTGGTTTGTGTATTTTTTCTTGATCATTGTCACCAGAGGTTTCTCATCAGTTAATTTTATTTCACTAATCCATATATCTTTCTTCTACTTTGTTTTTGTTTTGTTTTGTATTCTTTTCCGATGTGCTGACTTCTTAAGATAGATGTTTGTTTTAATAGTCAATCTTTCCTAATGTATACATTTGAAGACTATGGGTTTCTTTAAACAATGCTTTGGTTTCATCAAGCAAGTTTTTATTACAGTATTATCATTATCATTCAGTTAAAATAGTTTTGAAATTTTTGTTATATATTATATATAATATTAGGGGAGTATCTTTTGTTATTTATTCTTAGATTATGTTGTTCTGTGATAATAAAAAATGCTCTCTATGATTGATGTTGTTGAAACCTGCATATTTTCTCCAGGAAAGGATTTATTGTGTAAATATTCCACTGCTCTTAAAATGAATGTGTGGTCCTCTGTTGCTAAGGCAGTGTTCTTCTATGTACCCAATAGGTCAGTGTGGTTAGTCTTGTTCAAACCCCTATTCTTGTTTGTTTGCTTTTAATTTTTAGAGATCATAAGTTATTAAAAGAAGTATATTTAAATCTCTCATTTTGATTTTCATTGTTTAGTCTGTCAAATTTTGCTTTACATAATTTGAGACTATGTTCTTAGGTGCAATAAAATTAACTGTTGTATCTTCTTGGTGAACTGAACATTTTATCATTTTGAAATGACTTATGACCTTTTTGTAATTATGGTTTTTCCTCATAAAGTCTGCTTTGTTTGATATTACTAAAGTAAAATGATTTTCTTGTGATTATTTTCACAGCATGTCTTTTTCCAACCTTTTATTTTCAACACTTTTGTATATTTGTGTTTTGTGTTTTTATCAAAGGCATGCATTTGGATATTTTCAAATGTAGTCTGACAACTTTGTATTTGACTGGAGAATTTAATACATTTACATTTAATGTAAATGCTAATATATTTGGTTTTAAATCTATCATGTTATTTTGTGTTTGTACTTGTCTTAACTCTTCTGTTTTTCTCTTTTCCCTTCTTTTGGATTATTTTTATCATTCATTTTTCCTCTATGAGTTTTGAAATTATACACTTTTTTCAGTTCTTTTAGTGGTTACCTGTAGGACAACATATATACTTATCAAAGTCTAAAGTTAATAAATATCTTTTTTCCTCTAATGACTTTTATATTACTGTGGAGCCTCTGGAGCCAGATCATCTGGGTTGGAATCCCAGCTCCATCACTTAATAATTTTGTGATCTTCAGTGGATTGGTTAACTTTTCTGTATCATAGTTATCCTTATCTGTAACTAGATATGACTAGGTAAATGCATAACCTCAATACATAGTAATTTTTATTTATTATTATCTGAAATTATTTTAAAATTATTATGTTGTCTTAAAGTTTGATAACTTCAAATATACATGTAATACACTTGTTAAACATTATTTGGAAGCTTTTTAAAAAATTTGGCAACAATATCTTCTTATAGATACTTTAGCTGCCAACATCATATAGAAAAGAGAGTAAACTGTGCCTTACCAGCAAAATTAAAGTTTGTAGCCTATAGGGGGGAAAAAAACCTTAGTTTGCTTTTAAGTGCGCTTCATAAATTTATATCACACATATCACTCCTTGTTTTAATGTTCGTTATTTTTATTTTTATCTACCTCTGAATCTTTATCTTTATCCACACCTATGTCCAAATGCATGGAAAGACATTTGCACTAGGGCTAATTGGGGAGCAGGAGGAGATGGGAGCAAGTATTTAGAATTAGTTTAATATCAGTCCCTGAACAATTGGAGAAGGAAAAGTGATTCACATTCTAGGAGAATCTTGATGAGAGGTCAAGTTTTAAAAATGGAATAGGTGGTCACTATAGTCATTTGCAGAGGGACCTTCCACCATAGCATTCCTTTGATTGCTGCTCTCTCTAAGAAGAGCCTCAGGCTTTTCCCCATAAAACGGTTGACATATAGTTTTGCCCTGTTCAGCATTTTCATTTGCTTTTTGCCTCCTGCATTGGTCTACTCTTGCATTTTCCAGCTCTTGAGTGCTGTCCCCTCTAGCTGTGCCTCTGGTATCTTCTGCCACTTCTTGACCCATGTGACCCTGTCAGATAGTGAAATCTCCGGGGCCTACCTCTCTTTGCTTGAACGTACTTCTCCCATTGTCCTCTTCATTCTGCCTCCTTAGGCTGGCAACCTGCTGCTAACTCTTGGTCAGTTATATCTCTTTCTACTCTTACCAAAAAAAGGAACTTTAACATATCACTCCCCAGGAACATTTAAAGCTATTTGTCACGTTTTGAAAGTACTCTCTTTCCCACACTTTCCATATCAAATCTGTGCCAGATATTCCATATGCTTTTAAAAATAATAAATCTGCATAGTCTCTTTTGGGGAATTCAGTAATGTAGTTTTCAAATTTCTGGATTCAAGAATACTAATGGACCATGGAATCAATATTGTGTGGGTCTTAAGTAGTATTTTTTTTTAAAGAAATTAAAGTGGGAAAAAAGTTTTCTGAATTTTTTGTTTCATGATATTGTTAAGAAGAAAATTTCTCAGATTGATTGATCTTCAGCATATGTCAGAATTTGTTTACTTGTTAGCAAGAGGAACAACCAAGTAATAAAAGAGTATATCCATTCAGGGAGGATATGGATACAGAAAGATTACATATTTGGGAAATAGAATGTTTACCTAAGGAGCTAATGTTTAAAAATGAGTGAGAAAGTATAAACAATAAAGTTCATTTTGCAAGCTCATAGAAATAGAAATATCACATTCGTATCAGTCTGAGACAGAGTGATCTGAGAAGTTAATGCTATGACTCTATTTGTAGCTGATAATTAGAGTAACAGAGTTTTATCCATCAACAGTTGTGTCTGACAATGAATATGGAGGCATGAACTGGTGTGAGACAGAGATTAGAAGGAGAGCACCAGCTAACAAATTCTGATTTAAACAGAAGGCTAGAGTGGTTTTCTTATGCCATAAGCAAAGTAGTTTTCCCATTTCTTAGTTTGGAGACATTTTTCTCCTCTTTGGTAATAAATATGTATGTATTGGGTCATGATAAAAGATGTAGTTGCTGACATAAATTTTAATCAAAAAACTGGGAAACACTGACTTGGATGGACTGGATCTTCTCAGACCTAAGATTCTATCTTTTCAGAAGATAACAGTGAAATTTGTTTGACAATTTAAATATTGGTGTATTTGAACATTTATCTACTCATAATAAGTTTCAAGTTGAGTAACTGGCTAAAGCTCATGAAACTATAAGATAATAGCAATAGTGAATGTAGAGCTTAGCATATTCTAGATGCTTCACTTATATTAACTTCACAACTCTGTGAGCTGGGTACTATCCTCACCCCCATTTCACAGAAGAGGAAACTGAGGCACAGGATAGAGGAATTCTAGTCGGCAAGGAATCAGGATTAGATCAATCTGATTCCAAGTGTGAACTCCTCCAAGTCTGCACTCCTCAGCATGGTACTTTGTTGAGTCCTCAGACAGTGGTCCTGGCCTCTGGGTGGGATGGTGATGAAAATTAATATCTGATGTAGGTTGTTGGAGTTTCCAGGGACTTAGAGGATTAGCAATACAAGTTAACATCACTTGATTCACCCTACTCAGTCCTCTTCAGTTAATCTAGTATCTGATGCAGAAATACTGGTAAGAACTAAGGATGCTGGTGGCAGC